CGCCCGCCGGGCCGGGGAGCGGGCACGGCCCAGCACGGCCCGGGCACGGCCCGGGCACGGCCCAAGCATGGCCCAGCACGGCCCGGGCACGGCTGGCACCCCCCGCCCCGTGGCCATGGCGGCCCGCCCGCCGCTCACCCATGACCTGCACCCGGCAAATGGCGCAGGTGTCGCACTCCACGTCCCAGCTCCACATGGCCACCGCGTTCCACTTCTTCAGCGAGAACATCTTGTCGGGGCCGCCCGCCTTGGAGCCCGCGGAGCCCGGCAGCGAGTGGGGGGCGCCCGGCTCGTCCCCGTCCTCCACATCGGCCATGGCGGAGGGGCGGGGACGCGGCGGCCGCGCGGGGCGGCAGCGCCACCCCCCGGCGGGAGCGGGAACGGCAGGGCCGGGAGCGGGAATGGCGGCCCGGGGAGCGTGAGGGGACACCGAGAGGGGCTGATCGGGGAGCGTGAGGGGACACCGAGAGGGGCTGATCGGGGAGCGTGAGGGGACACCGAGAGGGGCTGATCGGGGAGCGTGAGGGGACACCGAGAGGGGCGGCCCGGGGAGCGTGAGGGGACACCGAGAGGGGCTGATCGAGGGGACACCGACCGTGGAGGTGTTCAAGGAAAAGACTGGACGTGGCACTCGGTGCCGTGGTCTGGTTGGACTTGATAATCTCAGAGGTCTCCTCCAACCGAATCGATCCTGTGAGGTCTGTCTTGGATTCCTCTTGCTGTCTCTGGTTATACAGTAGCAATCCTTCATGGAAAACGGTCGATTAAATACACCTACTTCGAAATGTCGGTCCAGGACGCTCTGAATTTACTAGCCAATTTATCAGCTTGGGTTTGTGAGGAGACAAAAGAAATCAGCAGAAAAACAGGTGACTTGTGAGGCACTAGAGAACTAAAAGTTTTAAAGGGAATTTCAAAGTGGCTTGATTGCATTAAAAAGCAAAGTATCTACATATACAGCTACATACGCCTTTAAAAGTGGAGCTTCTAAGTGTACATAAGAACAAAGCCAAACAATATACATCATTAGTTTAAACGATGATAGAAATTCATATTTGTTTACTAATCTTTATTCCCCCCAAAAATATAAAATTGATTTTTCCAATACAGTGCCCTGTCTCTTTAATCCTACTTTAAGTTTGTTAAATACTGTTGACTTCATGTAAAAATTAAACTTTAAAGATACAATATTCTATCTGAAGTCAGAAGAAACAAATTAATGGAAGGTGTAAGAACTGAAGTTCACCTTTTTTCCCCTTTCTCAAGACTTAGCAGTATTTGACCTCCAAAAAAATTCTATGACGCTGCTAAACAAACCAACTCCATTCAGAGCACCTGATTGTGCCCAACAAATCATTTGCCTGGCAGCTTTAGAAACATATGCAGCACTTACATTTTATGTAGTCTGGGATATTTCCATGGAGGTAGACCCCAAACCATTTACATACCACCCCGTCACTCCCCTCCCACTGTGGTTTCTGATCAGCTCACTGTAGTTTATCAGGTCTCTGATCACCCTGCAGAAATCTCAGGATGTCCACATTGTTTTGGGTGGTTGGGCCAAGCTTTGCTCCTCAGTTTGCAAAGCTAAATTACTCCAGTCACACTGACATTGTTGGCTGAGGCCAGATCTGAAATGTGAACTGGGTCCCACTTGCACAGTAGAAAAAAAAAAAAACCAGTTGATTCTCTGTTGATTAACCCACTATTAGAAAAGTCACACCAAGCAGTTCTTATCCTCACTGCTCTGCTCCACGACCACTCCAGTCCTGTGGACTGTGGGGCTGGGCTTCAAAAACTAGGCTGGATTGCTGCTTACTAACATGAGAAATTGTTATTCTCACTACCACCTCAAACCCCACTACTCCAATGTCTGTGTGCTCAGCAGAAACGCTGCCAGGTTGAGTTTTCAAAACACTAACCTGTTGTTTGTGCCAGCGTCCCTTCAATAAAAACTGCTGCCCATTGCCACAGCGGGCTTCTGCACGATGACAAAGGCACAGGAATAATGACTGCAAAAAGAGTAAATAAGGTACAGCATAAAAAATGGGATATTTTAAAGGAAAGGAAGGGCAGAGACAGAAGTTGAATTTCTTAATCCCCTTTCACCACTCAAAATCTAATTCCATCCAAATATGTAGTTCTGCTTGTAACAGAAATATATGTCTCTGTAAATCAGCTCTTGGATGATAACAATATTGTAATATGTAAACACATGGGCAAATTTCAAAATTCATTTGAGGAAAGGCAATTTTGGATAACACAAATGGCACCATCTGTAATCAAGCCCCAATTTTCTTTACACTGAGGAGCTCGAGAATCTTCATTTGTAGAACTCTTCATACTCGAAACTGTAACCATTCCTGCCTTCAGTGACGCTGAATATAATTAAAATTCACACTGGTTTGATGTTCTAAAGGTAAAATAATTTCTTGCTTGCCTGGTGTGGCAGAGAGGAAGTTAACGAGTGTATCAATCTCACAAGGAAGGATTGCTGGCATGGAAGAGGAGCACATGGTGCATCCAGCCAGCTCTGCAAGTGCTGTAGAGTAACACAGAGTGTGAACAGAAAGAGAAATAAATCCATTTCATATGTAATCAACATGTTTTTAAGCCAAGGAAGATTTTCTGCAAGACTAAGTGCACTTATATAGTTTTAAAACCCTTTTTTTAATGTTTCAACAGGACACCTGGCAGATGCCAAACTGACATTCATGAAGGATGTTCTCTCGGACAGAGCATTCTGTGCAGCTGTGGTGCAAGTCAGAGCTCAGCTTCACCTCAATGGCAGGTAATTGCTAATACAGTAAAAAAATAAAAATTATATTGATCCTAAAGATTTGATATTTCTACATTAATCAACCATCAATACAGAAGAACCTATGATTTCCTTGAACAATCATTCAATTCAACAATCTTTTGCTCTTACCTCGGCTGATTCACACTTCTCTCAATCCATGCTGTTCTTTACTACCTCCATTATTTGAACTCATCAGTCTTTCTGTTTTTTTTTTTTTTAAAAACCATTGTGACACTCCTGAATTTGAATGACTGGGACTAGAGTGTAATACAGGAAAGTTTAAATTGAAAATTGCTTTTGTAAAACTTGAAAAGAAAATGGGCACGTAATTTTTCTTTAATAATACATTGTATTTTTATACCTTTTCAGGGAGTTTTCTCTATGCAGTCACTGCCTTAACTGTAAATAAAAAAACATTATTTCAGACTGGGCATTTTCTCATCTCATTCACACGTTACTGAAAACGTTCCAACATCTAAATATGAGAACTTGAACCAAGTTCCTTTCAGCCCATCAAGGGATTGTTCTGCAAGATTTAAAGCTGCTCAGCCAATTCTGTGCTGGAGAATGGGGAAAAAAAACCAACTTGTGAATGGAGACATTCGTAACAGTAGGTATCCAAATCTGAAATACTGTTTGCTATTACACAACTTATAATCAATTAATTTACAGTAATGATTTCACAGGAAGAATGCAGTGCAATTCATCAAGGACTGATTCCAGGTTCTGATTGTCCCCATGTCAAAAAATACCCAAAGCTCCAGGTGTTTGACACCCAACTTCCATCAGTGCCGTAACAGTGTTCTTTTCATACCCCTGCTCCCATTTCAGGTGAACACACAGATGCATCGTCATCTTGTAAGAACACTTTCACTCTCTCTACACCTTTCTAAATGCTGAATATTGCACAGACAGTAGTTTGAAAGATTTTCATCAATCTTTTGAGAACGGAGATGTCTGGAAGTATAACCTGCTTTTGTTCTTTTTTTTTTTTTTTTTTTTTTTTTTTTTTTTTTTTTTTGCTTTATTCTTCCCTCTTACAACTTCTTGAAATTTTTTTGTCGGTTTTTATTTTTCTTTTCCCACTTTGTTTACTCCAAACCACAGAATTGAAAATTATTTTGATTAAAAACAAACCTGTTGTGACAATGTCAGTTTTATGATAATGCAAAGAACAGTTATGTAAGTATGTGTGTATCTTGGCCAACTGATGCATGTGCTGCACTGAATTAAACCCACTTACTGTTTGTTCTGTCAATAATCTAACATATATCAAAACAATGAAGGACCGTGGCCATTTACCTGCCAAAGAAAACAATTTAAGCACAGTTCTCTGCCAAAACTCTTTGTTCAACTCTAGATGATCCATGGTTCTCTGTGCCACTTTACCAAGAGGAATGTGCCACCCAGGACTGCCAATGGCCAGCAGGGAGCTGAAACCACACCAAGGAATAGGGGAAACAAAATCACAGAGCCCTTAAAGCAAACTGAATTGTCTGACTGGACTCAAAAAGGCCACAGAATTTACGTTTCTAACATCAGTGTGAATATTTACATTCTCCTTTTTGGTGAAATTGTTAGCTAGACTTCATTTACAGCTACCACAGCATTTGCAACAGCAATTATGCTAAAATAATGATGAACTCAAACACTTATGAATCTTGATCATACTTCATATGATCTTCCATAGAACTGTAAGATTTATATATACAGACCAATTTTGTTATTTTCCATAAACACGAATTAACGAAAAGAATGATTTAAAAACATTTCAGCAAGGTCTTCTAATTGCTTTACTTAAAAAAACCTCCAATCCAAAATAGTCTTACAAAGCATATGCATTTCCTGAAGTGCAACCACTGCATCTTTTTAACCCTTACTTACAAACAAATGCTTTTGTACAACCAACACCGAATCTGTCCTTATCACACGATTCAAGGTTGCAAACTTGGTAGTTTAAAATACATACAGATGATCAGAAATCAAAGCAGCCTCGTAAAGCATCTCTCCTATATTATTCATAGAATCTTATAAAAAATGCCGCAAACATAGGAGGGCACAGCAGGTGGCAAAAAAGTGTCCAGGTTACCAGAAAACAACCAAAATCAGACTGATAAAACATAACTCCCTGTTCCCTCAGCCTGCAGATAAATGCTAACATTTTAAGCAGGCAGGGCTCACAATGAACACACAGCACATCTCAGCTTTGTTGTGATTTATTTCCGAGTTATTCTCAAGAAATGTTACAAAACATTTTAATGTCTCGATACGAAAATAAAATTTAAATAAAAATACATTCAACAATACATCATCATCATCATCATCATAAAAATTAAAACTTTTACAATCCTAACAGAGCTAATTACTGAATAACATCACCTTGCTAGACTAATCAAAACAAAGGCAACTTTTATTATTAATCATCCTACTTGTACCTAATTAAATTCTAGAACATCTACTGAATTTTAAATCATTATGAGAAATCAAATCTTAATGTTCACAAGTATTCAATGGCCTTTTTTTTATTTCGATATTCCAGTACCAAAGCAAAGAAAAAAAAAGTGCATATTAAAAAAAAAACAACAAAGTTGCAAGAGTGTACAACTCCATTTTTCATAAATTTGACTTGGAAAACAACAAGAAATGGTTCCAAGGAACAGACAATGTGCCACAGGGTTAATTCATATCTGATAAAACCTAACTGACCCTCAACCACATTCAACTTAGTTTAATGGCAGCTTTTGAGTAATGGCAATTCATCTTCACCTTGGCAAAAACACATTCCTTGGCCTTACTGTATTCTCCCCCAATTTTAACAGCTGGCAAATTAAAGTCCCTTCAAACACATCCAATCTGTAAAAACGGGAAAGGCAAAACCAGGCTGAGGTGATGAAATGATTGTGATGTTGCAGACACTACTACTGAACCCTGGATTTTCTGAACCAGTTTGGAATTAAACCAAATACTCATTTTAACAGGTTCCACTCATTCCAAGACGGGTTTCAATCCTGTCTTGCCACCTGGCTGCTGTTCCAGAAACCTCCCTACAACAGTATCAATTTATTATGGTCATTTAAACAGCTTTACTGCCTCAAGCATTGTGGATTTCTATCCTAAGGTCCATTTCTAATTAATCGGGCCAAATCATGATTGGAAAAACAAAGCAAAACCAGAAATAAAAAAAAAAAAAAAAAAAAAAAAAAAAAAAAACAAAAAAAAAAAAAAAAAAAAAAAAAAAAAAAAAAAAAAAAAAAAAAAAAAAAAAAAAAACAACAAACACCCAGCAAAACAAGAAGAGACCCCACAGAAAACAGTCCAAAAATAAAAGTACCACATATAACTTTTATTAAAAATAATATTCCAAGGAGTACCATTGTATTTAATACTGATGAAGCAAAGTTGCCACAGTAATATCTTTGCTTCTTCCTGGTTATATACATGTATGTTTTCTCAGCATCAACCTAACTTCTCAGATGAAGTGAGCAAAAAGGAATCTTACCGAAGTCAGGAATGCCAGTTCAAAATTGGGTTAAGTGGCAAATACGAACCCACGTAACTAAAGATACAAAAATATTCACTGAAGCATTGCTTAAAGACAAAACAATGTCGATCATTCAACTGATCATAACAAGCAGATACTACAAAGTATCTAAAAATAATCTGGGGTAGTCCAGATATCTAAAGTGCTTTGAGTGATTATAATAGAGATTATTTATTAGATTTGTAGTCAAAAGTTGAGCTGGACACGGTTACTGCTTTTTATAAAAACAAGAAATAAAATCCTCCACAGGATGATGTTAATTGATCAGTACTTAACCACAACCTGTTCACATTTAAATTTTTCCGTAGGCAAACCTATTTTAAAAAGAATGTTGCTACCCTGCATCTCTTTTTCGATTAAGAAAAAATATGTACCTTCAAAAATGCCAAAGAAAATATTAGTGGTCCAATGTCACTCCATACATTCCTCACCCCAAATGTAAACAAGAGGTACAACTTAAGTTCCCTGATTTCTTCTTTAGTACTTAATGACACAACTAACACTGGTATCTGCTGCCCAGATTATCTGCAGCACGCTGCAAGGTTTTGTAAAAACTTCACCTGTAGATAAATCAAGTCCTGGCAACACCTAATACAAGGGGAAAAAAAAACCAAAAAAGAAGTCAAATGTATCAAATGTGAAGCTTCTGATCTTTTCCTTGTTGTGAAATCTTGGGATTTCTAGTTCAGGATCCTCATCAGCAGGGCAGGCACTCACGGTCAACTCATGCAGAGTGTGTGTTGAGAGGTGTCCTCCAACCAACAAATGCAGAGTGGATTTTCCTCCACTGAAAAGCTTATTTGTTTGGAAAGTTCCTTCCAATGAGACAACGATGGCAAAACCGACATTTAGATTTATTCACACCTGTCACTCCAAGAACCTGGAACCTCAAGTTCTTCAGCAAAATGAGAATAAACCCCAAAGACCAGATTTCCAAGAAGGTATTTTTCTATTAAATATTAAATAGATTGTCAACACAACTAGCATTTATGTTCATTCTTAAATACTTGGCAAAAATGCTGATAATGAATTAAAAAAAAAAAAAAAAAAAAAAAAAAAAAAAAAAAAAAAAAAAAAAAAAAAAGAGAAACAAAAAACCCAAAATGCTCTAGAACATTTCCAGGTTGGTTTTTTTTTTTCATCCAAGTGTGCCACAGTTCGTTAGGAAACTTTTCCAACAATTGGATTTTCTCTGAAAAAAAAAAAATTATTTGTAAAATATTTTCAAGGTTAACATTTTCTTTTCTAGTTCTCAGCATACAATTTTAATGTATTTAAAAAAAATAATTCTACCATTAATTGTGAAATTCCACCATTTGCAAAAACCTCATTTACTTTCACAGACGACCTCTAAATCAAAATCAATTTTTCCAAACAACTTGGGTCAAACACTAACCTAAACCAACCAGATGGGGGTTTGAACTTTGGTGTTTTTTTTGTTTGTTTGTTTGTTTGTTTTTCCTCGTGGTGAATCAATCCTTACTGATGCAAAGAAGAAATCTGCAAACTTGCTATACTGTTCCACAGACATAAACCAGGACTGAAGAGAATCAGAGAATGTGCTCTGGAACAACAAAGTACTCCAAAGAACAGGAGTTGTTTTTTATTTTGACTTCCCCAGAAATCGTGTTTATCACTGAATATGGCGAGTGAAATACAACCAGTAAACATCCTGCCTGAAAGAGACGTTTCTGCAGGGTAATTTTTACAGTTTCACATCACTTGATATTTCAACTGTTTCTTATCCAAAATTTTGGAAAAATAAATAAATTAGAAGGTAGGAATATAGTCAGGGATAAATTCTGGGTGCACTTCAGGTGTCGAGTTGCAAGGAAACAGTCACTGCACCCACTCAGAGGAATCTCAACAGGAGCACAGATGAATCCCACACCACAAGAACTTGCACCTTGTAACTGCTACAAATGATGCACCTGATTTTCTCCATGTCTGTGTGGTCCAGCTCTACCTTTATATTCATTATCTCTACCTCAACAAGCCTAACCTCGTTCTGTGATTCATTTTAACAAAAATACACGTTTACCTGTGCCAGAATTCCACAAGATACTTACTCACTACCATATTTGGCGCTGGAGGATCTCTTCTTTTGGTATTTTTCATGGGATTCACTCAGCTTTTCCACCACATCTATTATCTGCTGAAGTGTGTGGAAAGTTGCCACGGAGTCTTCGATGGTGAAGTTGGAATAATCGTCGGGCTCTTTCCGTGGGCCTTGGTAGACCGCGATGCTGCCACAGGCCTCTGCAGAAACCACCACAGTCACCCCAGTTAGAACTTACCAACCAGCAAACACATCCAACTCTCACAGAAATGGTAATTCAAAGGTGAAGTTGCTCTGGTTTGTACACAAAATGGATGAGCAGGAACAGTGTGGACTGTGTGTATTGCCAGTTGTGTGGGTTACTCTCTGCTGGTTGTGTTCACCACCCTGAGCATCCAGCTCTCTGCTCTTCACACTAATACAAGTCCAGCGTTTTCCTGCAGCTCAGCCACGTTAACAGAACTCACCACAACGCCAGGAAAGGGGCAGCAAAGACACAGGGACAACCTGCTCCAGTTGCAGTGTCTCTGCTCAGACTATTAAAGGTATTACAGACATGGAAATTCAATACAGTGTGCACAGCTCACCCCCACTGTAAAGAATGACTGAAGAGAGTCAGACACCAGCACACTGAGAAGACAGGAACACAAGCTCTTTCTCTCTATCTATCATTTTCAGGTAAATTGTTAGGACAAAATGATGTTATAGGCCTAAAGAATTAGAGCTGAATAACATCAGAATAATTCTTCTGAATTATCATTTGAGTACCTTCCAGCTTCTGTAGTTTAGACCTGTTGATAGTGAAAAGTGAGTAAATTCTTTCTGTCTCTCTGTCTCCATCAATCTCAATTTGTGTATCAGCAGGAACATCTCTAAAAGGTGAACAAAGAGACGGGTAGTCAATATAGAGAATTCTTGAAAGCAAGTAAAAACCGATTCTCTTTCAATATACACAGCCTTTTAATATACTTATCACTCCCACACAGCTTCACAAAACAGAGGCTGTAATTTATGCAACCTATCCAGGTAGGGAAAAATTTGTTTTAAAAAGAGATCAAAGCATTTCTTTGTTTTCTGAAATCAGCAGCTGACAGAAAGGCATTAAAGCATTATGTAAGATGCTATTCATTTTTCTGACATATCTGCCCAACGGAGAGAAACCCAAATGATGTATCAGAATCTACATCCAAGGTTATTTAGCTGAGTTTCTTAACACACACTTTTAAAAAATGTGAGGTTCAAATAAAAAAGTGGCTGTACGATACAAAGTCGATAGAGAGAGAAGACTTGCAGGCTGAACTCCCTGCAGCAAGGTATTTTAACTATTTCATACAGATGATCATACACCTGCGTTCAGCCTGGCATCTGAATCAAACCTGCTATTCTGCAGAAGAAGAAATCAACCACTGGACATTTCTGATTTACACGCTGAACTGATCACCATTTCATACAGCAGCTGACAAAGTAATAAATTTATTGAAATCCAGTACTTTGTGCCTTCCAAAGGCCCGTTTCCAGCACACAGCGGGTGAAGTGCCCAGGGAAAGCCTGGCTTTCACCTTCCCAAGCTGGGCAGTGAATCCCCCGTCCCGTCCCCCGCAGCCCCCAGCGCTGTCCCCTGAGCCACTCACGCGGTGCAGCGAGCGCAGCCCACGCTGCTCTCCACGGTGGCCTTGCAGCACAGCCAGCTCCCGTTCAGGAACGCCGACGGGTGGTAGAAGCTCAGCCTCTTCTGGTTGCACCTCGTGACCCGGCACAGAGCCTCGATCCACTCGCTGGCTTCCACACAGTTATTGGCCTGGATGTAGAGCGGCTTTTCTCCATGGAGCACCTGGAACATCTGGAGGAGAAACACTAAGGTTATCCCGCTCAGTAAAAACAACCAGTTATTGAGCAACCTGGAGCGTGTTTGAATCTCTCTGAAAGAGATTTCAAAGCTCAGGCAATTCAACGACGTCAAACTGAGACAGACAAGGGAGAATGGCAGACATTCCACCTCTTCCAACTACACAGACCTACCCAGGAGAAAAACCCCACCCAAACAGCTCCCTGTGTTCCACCCACACCCCCTCCTCATCCAAACAAGAGTTCCTAAAGAATTAGAACACGATGCATTTTCTGTCCTGTTCATTTACCTATCTTTAAATGTGTCCCCAGACTTCACAAAGCACGACCTTTATCCTCCCTATCCCGGGAGCAACCGAAGATTCCCACAAGTCTCTCCTTTTAAGCTGTACTTTTATCACTGCCTCAGAATTTTGGATTGAAATACCAGAAATAACTGACATGTTACAGGACCAGAACGACGCTGTGAGCACAGACAACTGTGCGAGCCGATGAAGGTACTCAAGGGAGTTCTCACTGAAAGGAATAAATACAAGTTTGGGAATAACACATATCTAGTAGAACATAATGTAATTAAAAGTCCTCTGTAACAAGGTCCTGTAGTTTCAACCTTCATTCCAGAAATTTGGCAAGAAGCCAGAATCAGTCAGAAAAGTTAGTGCAGATTTCCTTATTTCCAGGTTAACAATGTTCAGAGTCCTTGGAGATTCCACACACAGCTTCTTACTCTTGATCCACTCAAAAGACTTCTTGTTGAAGTGTTTGGTGATGGGGTTTCATTAACTCTGTGAGCTAATTATGATCTTTTACTTAAGTAACACATCAAGAATTACACATAAACTATCTTTTGACCCACATTTTTCTTGTTGAAGGAGCTCTCGTCAAGTTTCTCCACTGCAAGGATGTTTTTGATTGGGATAGTGAAAATTGGTTCTTTATCTGTAAAAAATTGTAAACAGAAGAGTGATCTGTAAGAACTGTTTTAGAACTGACATTGCAGTTCAAACTCTCAAAATACACATTTTTATTATTGAGAAAATAGACATGAATCAGAGAGAAGCATTTATTAATCAAGGCAAAGGGAACTAAAATACATCATAGGTATTTTAGGAAAAGAAGAAGATGATGCCTTTTTAAAAACACAAATTAGATGCAAACACCTAGAAAACACTGAAAAATCAAACTATTAGTAAAATAACCATAATCACCTTGCTGTTTGTGGTATGTGAATTCTCTGCTTGTTAAACAGAACCACCGCTTCTTGAAATTCTTTTTGCCAATCCGAGTCCTCCCCTGAGCTCTTTTGTACATTTCTCTGTCAAGGCACAGTCAAATGAAATGCAATCATTGGTCTTCTGAGGAAGAACCATTTACTGAGACAACATCAAGATCTAATTGATTACTTTTCCCCCTAAAAGTTATTTCCCGAAGTTAATTACTGTTTTCCCAAAAGATGTGCTAGCAAAGTCTACAGTTGTTCTTTTAAACCAATTCTGCAAAACAATAAAGAAATACCTTAAATTACAGATATCAGAATTCCTACAGTCTCTTACACATTTTAATAAGCTTTAACCTGCCACTGGTATTAATGGAGACACAGTAAAGTCAGTTCTGTCCCACGATGCAGATTGCAGATGTACTTACCCTTCTTTGAGGTGCACAGGCTCACTCAGACCACTTGGCTCTTTACTCTCAGTAGAGGAAACATCATCTAGGAACTTAAAGAAAAAAAAAAAATACAGGGAATATATTCAGAAATACAATAAAACCAAAAAGCTGCTTTGAAAACACCCAGGTACAGTTTGTCCTGGAACACAGCAATTGCTTTGTGCAACAGATGAACACAGACTGCAGGGACTGCAACAAGGGATGCCATGAGCCACACAAGCTTGTTTTAATTATTCCTGAACAGCAGAGCCAATAAAGTCTGGTTCAAAAAAAGTATATTTTTTTAAACTAAATTAGTTTAATTTGCTTTGTATAACTTTGACTGCGTTGACTTTGCTGTGGTTTTTTTTTTTCCAGGTGTTTATAGTCTGAAAGGGACCACAACTTTTATTCTGCTGTCCAACAGAAAACTGAACAATAACACAACCTTCTAATAATGAAGGCTGATCAAACACACCAACCACTGAAAAACAGAGAGTTGAAAGGTACCTTTTTAACAGATTCAGTAAATTTTTCTTCTTGAAATGTTTTGAAAAACTCGCACATAAACGTCTCCTTGAAACTTGACTGAAAGGAAAGGTATAAAGAAAAGGCACGTTGGTATAAATAACCCTGCACAGAATGTTCAGCATGTCTATGAAAGAAGAAAGAATTTTAGCAGCCTTACAAGTTTGCTTTTGGTCAAACTTCCCCAACTGCCCAAAGTCTGGATGGCTTTGGATATGAGAGTTAATGTTCTAGAAGTCTGTGCATCCTGAAACAAAGAAACAAGGTTCAGAGGTCACGTTTTTTTCACAATTTCAGGTAAAATTGAAAATGAAAATGTCACAAAAATTACTGTATTGCACAACGTAGTATATCTGACACATTTTCATTCCTTTCCTTTGCCCCAAGAGAAAAAAAAATGCATCTGAAGGATTATATAGTTTATAAACTAATGCATACTGCTTCATATTTCCCTCACTATCACTAGAATTTAATATTAGTACTTGGAAAAATACTTTTACCTATAAAACACCTCAAACCCCTCAAATCCTGTAACCATTACTACACATCCAACAGTAAACAATAAACACTAGGAACTATTGCCGGACAAATGGTATCAATTTTCGTAACACAAAAGGAATCTAAAATGTTGTCTTTAAGGCTCTTTCTTAATTTGTTTGCTACCTCATTGCTTGCATTTTAGTACAGGATTATAAACCCAGTCCCTGAACGCAGCCCTGCTGTTCCCTTCAAATGTTTAACCCTCAGCTGTTAAAATACTCTTTTTTTTTTTTTTAACTCAACAAATTGAATAATCAAAGGAATTAACTTGAGTAAGTATATTTTTTTTTCTTTTGAAAGCACAACACGCATTAAGTAGATACAATAACCTAATAAAGATAACCTCAGAAGCAGATCTCATATATGGTCTGTATTTCACGTAAAAAATACAGGGTTTTTAATCTCCACATTCCCATCCTTGAAAATGTTTTGTTACATGTATCTACTTCACAACCAAAAATGGAAAATCTGGCAACCCACTGCAACCAGAGGAGTCCAGAATAAATACACCAATCAATTATTATCGTCTGCAACCTCTGCTTAAGCCACAAATGGAAATAAATATAAATATAAAAGTGACGAGGATATTTAAGTTCCTTGGTGGAAGGAACTGATGCAGTTGAGGCCTAGACCTTCAAGACCCCTCAGTCATGTTGCTATTTTAACCAAGAAGCACTTTCCTAAAAAAGGCACAGCATCTTTATTATTAATTAACAGCTCTGCCACATCTTTTCAGGACACCCCAGAAAGGCTGAAAAACCTGATGCTCGAAGAACCGCAAATAACTCATTTCCTTTGGAAACTGAACCCAGAGACATCCAGTCACCTCATTTCCCACTCACACCCACTGAGAGTAACTCAGGCCTTCCCACATCACTCTGAGGGCGTGAATTAAACAGAACAAAGCTCCACGGAACTTACGGGATGGTGAGGTCGTAAATGAAAAGTATGAGGTGAGACTACGGCTACAGCAAAGAAACGGAGAAACACAAAGCTGCTCACTGCAGAGTACTGCACATGAGGGTCATCTGCAGAGAAAAACCATGAAATGTAACATGCACTGAACTCAACAGGAAACCAGGAAGACAGTTAACATAAAAACCCTGGAGGGGGTAACATCAGAGGAGACATTTACATTTCAAAATAGAGCAGGAAAAAATCGATGATGTGCGTGGAATGGGAAGGTGATCGTGGCAAGAAATGTTCTGCTTAAATGGAGGGTTTGTTTCTCCGGGAAGTTGTGTTCCCATACAGCTGGCTCCACTGCCAGCAACGATGAGATGGCTGCAAGCATTTACACCCCCAGTGTTCAGGAGGTGTGGCTGCATGCTGAGAGCAGATTAAAGACACTGCAGCAGGTGCCTCCAAACGCCGGGGCTGCTGGATTTACCACCCTTGCAAAGCTCCTCACACAGCAACTCAAACACATCAGTGCTTTGTGACAAACAGTCAACACATAGGGGCAAGTTTAATTCCAGTTCTGAACTGCTTCATAAAACCATGGCATTATATAATTCTGATAGTGTAAGTGAGGATTTTTCATTTAATATTATGAGTATATTTACACTTTTATATTGGGAAATAGAGTGGGATCACATTCTTACTCTAATGACCACTTGAACCTGATCTGGGAAATTAGCTGTTCTAAAAAGGACTGTCTAAACGAGAGCAACTCATGGCTTCAGTACCAGTGACAAACATGAATCAGAGAAATGTTCCACATTATGAGAAGCATAATCTTCACCTGTAGCTCATTACATAACATTGCAGATTTTAACTGACTCAGGTGGAAGAGTATCTCAGACCTACCACATCATTCCTACATCAAAACTACCCTGAAAGAATAAAGTTGTTCTAATAAGGGTCACGTTTACAAACCCATTAAATATTTTTTTTATTATCCCCCTCCTCCAAACTACCCATAAGCAGTAGAGCTGTAGCAGTAGGAAAGCTGATTTCAGAAAATTACGGATGTGCTGGTCACACTTAGCAGAGTGCCAGTTCATGTAAAGGTGCAAATGGGGAATTAATTTTCAGGTGCACATCTTGCTTCTTTGGAAGCAATAAACAGAACAGTCCCTACAAATTTGACATCTCTCTCAAACAAATCACTTCCTGTACTATTCTTCTATTCTATTCTTATTCTTCTATTCTTGTGCTTTTCTTCTACTATCTCATACTCTTTTGCAATTTCTGACCCCCTACATTTCTGTGTCCTGCTGAGTGGCCACAAAGCTTCACTTTAATTTACAGACAAACAAATGCCTGACTGGCAAAGTGAGAAGGTTCAGGGCCCAGCTTTGAGCAAGACAAGGAAGGATTTCAACCATCCCCACGTGGTAACTGCAGAAGTGAACTTCCCCTCCGAACACCACTTCCAAAAGTTTTTAGAGAACACTTACTTGGAAATCTTTTGGCAGCCAGATGCCTCAAGGAGTAAAAAACATCACACATGAGGGTGGGACAGCTTATGCTGGACTGCACGATTTCCCGGAACACTTTGTCCACGTAATAGCGGAGATTGTCCTGCAGGAGTGAACACAGGCACTGCTGTCACACCAGCAACAGGCACATTGCTGGGTTATAACACTACAGTTATTTTCTTTCCAAACACTGCCTGACTACTCAATTCTGAGTTTTAGCACAGTGCCTATTTTAAAAAGTCTCATGATATTTATAGGGCATTACGAGTGTTAAAAGAGAATTCACTTACAATAAAGTCTATAGGCACTGTCTGGCAATATACAACCATATATCAATAGCTGTCTTGTAATTTGACAACTTCCCACGTATAGTATACCAGGTGAATATTAACTTGTTGCAGCGACTAAAAATTGAACATTCTCGTCCTCTAATAGCAGGCAAGCAGCAAGCAGAACTTCAATAAAAGAACGCTAAAGCAGTTCTAATTAGGCACATCATAATCTAGACGCTGAGCACAGAACGTCAGGAATCAAAACACCCCAAAAACTGGTAAGAAAGACTAATCTTCTTCAGTTTCTCCATCCCATCCTGTTTTCCACTGGCCTTTTCCAGTGCTGCCTTCATAAACAGGGATAAGGAAATACAGCCTTCTCTACGTTTACTCTGAAACCAGAGAATTACACTGCTACTGTAAGTTACCTACTTTCCATCACAAAGAGCTGCTTTCAAAATGCTTTCATTTCAGATTTTGAGAAAATTCAAATTAGTAAAAAATCAATTAGGAAACTCACCATGTTACTTTCTACATTATCCCCTTCTTTTAGTTTGATGGGATCTATTTCACAGGGCTTAGGAGACTCACAGATCTGGAACAAACAAACACAACTAGAGGAGTTCAACTCTGCAGACAGAAAACACAGAAATGCACCCATTTCAAACCAGATTCTGTCCTAGGTTTGGGAAAACTCTAAATAGGGCCTAATTATCCATAGCAGTATGTAATGATTATCCTCACCTTTGTTTGGGTCTTTTGTAAGGGATCAGTTACCTGAAGCATCACATGGGCAAATTCTGCAACAACTGTCACTGACTTTTTTTTGAAGCATCTGGAATAATAAAAAGCAGCTCCTCCCACTAAACTTAACCCATTATTGCTCAATTTAACTTTCCTCTGGAATTCCCTCCCCTGAGTGATTCCTACCACAGACAGCGCTCGAAGCAGAATGTTTATCAACAAGACAGGATAGCCCTGAGGGCTGAGAGCCCTGAAAACAGTTCTAGTAGGAATAACCTACCTCATCAATAACAGGCTTCAAAGTAACCTTCAGGTAGTGCTTCCCCACTATTTTCATCATTTCATCTACACACCGAGTTGCTAATGAGTTGCCTCTGAAGATTGTGTTTGCTTCTCTGCAAAGAAAAGAATGGATTTTACTCCAACAGGGATAAAAATAAGAAGTTCGGCTCCAAATTCAATTAATACTTCATCTTGCTATTACATAATATTTTTAAAAATATTTTTTCATGTATGTCAGTCCGAAATCCCAGAACCCAGATACTGAGCTTGCAATGGCAGGAACAGAAGGAGAATAAACAAGAATGTTATTACAGCTACTACCAAAGCCAGAAATGTAAATAAAACCACAAGAAAAATCCTAAGGCGTTTCAGACAATGGGAGTCGCAGTGCAGTCTGGAATGGGATGAAGTACAATCAGAGAAAACTCCGAAATAAAGGAAGTTGTACCTCATTAAGGCACAGTTCCTCCTCCAGTAGTCACGGTGAGAAAAATCTCAGAGCTACAATAAACCAACTGCTACACCACACCAATAAACTCAGCCACTTAAACCGAAACATATTTAATCCAGGGTTAGGCTTTTTACTCCTTAGAGCTGCTGAAGAAAACCGAGAGCCAGCTGTGCCAAGTGTATCTTTCTAATCTGAGGGATTTAGTTGAAGCTTTCTTTGTCACAGCTCAGTTACAGCGGAATGTGTGCACTAAAATGCAGTTTAGGAAATTAGTTCTGTGAGTCACCTCCTTCTGCAGAGTTCTTATTGAAATCAAGAGCAAGCCAGCCTTGAACTGAACTGTCCTGTGCCGACAGAATCCCTTCCACACCTCCCCTGGCCGTGACCTGGCACCTCAGTGGCTGCTGCTGCTTCTTCATGTCTCCCCTAACCACAGAACTGCAAATTCACAGCCCAGACACCACCGCTGGGATATGTTCTTAATTACAAGGAATTTTTGCAGAAAAATGGCAGCCCTCATTTAAGTCACATATTAAAAGAAAGAGGATAAGATTCTTAGCAATTTCAAAAATGTTCCATTTAATTAGATCCATCTAAGTTCATAAGTTCCCATCCAATGGCCAGGAAAATTTGAAGAGTGGCTGAATTTTTTAAAATAAAAACTGTATGCTCTTAAGACAAAACATTACCAAATTGCACACAACCATTAACTCTGACCCCCAACTTCGAAGTGATTTTAATGAATGTTTTTATAAACCAGCATTAAAAGATGGATGACTTCAGTCAGTTTTACACAGCGAGAGAGACAAACCAACACTCCTACTTGTCGGTGCCGTGTCACGAAGCCCCCTGAAGAAAAAGGTTAGAAAGCATGAAATGAATAACCATGAACTACATACTGGGTGTCCTTCAGATCCAGTTCTGCCACTGCAGCAACAAAGGGCACCAGCTTGTGGTGGTGCAGCAGGAGTCGCACGAGGGGCAGGACGGCGTCGTACTTGTCCCGACACACCTCGCTCAGGATGTAGGCAGCAGATGCAGAAATGGGCTGGGAGAGCAGAGCAGGAAACCATGAGTGGAGCGGGTCAATGTTTTTATGCAGATCAGCTCTAACATGACCACAGACACGGTTTCCTAACAGAAAGTTTCAACATTTGCTGTGTAACGTGGCAATTAAAAGCTTCCGTTCTGCAGAGTGACTTCATTGAAAATTGGTATTATCCACTCTAATTGACATTTAAGAATGGAATTCGGCAGGTCCTCACCCTTCTCCTTCTCCCTAAAGGCTCAGAGTGTGGCTTTGTCCCAAATCCAAGTAAGAGAGGCAGGAAGCAATTGCTCTGCTATAATGCCATGTATCTTTATAGGACTTTGAAAACTCTAACCAGAGGACATTAGAAGTTCCCACACTTCTGAAGTGTCTGTTGTCACTGCAGAGCTGGGAATTTCAATACAAAAATGAAATTATTTAAGTAGGAAAGACAGCTGCTGACTGCCACTGCCTACACACTCAGCTACTCCTGAATTCCATCGAGGCAGCCTTTGAACACGGGCCAGCAAAAACTTCAGTCACATCTGCCTGCTCTTTATCCCTCTTCTCCTCTGCCTGTACTTCACTAACACTGAAGGGATGAAAAGCTATAAAACACCTAAGAATATCAAGCCTGGTTACTCTAATTTGATTCCTGTCCCACTGTTACACAAACCATCTCCCAACACTTGCTCTTTGTCACCATGTGGAGAAATCCAGTCGAGCTGATCAACACGCTGGGGAAGGCAGAAGCAATTCACAAGCAGAATTAAAAACAATTAAAAACTTCTGAAGCAGACCTTTTTTTTTTTAATTATCTGCCTCTTCAGTGCCAATAAGGGATCAATGTCCCTGGAAAACCTCTAAATCCAGGAAGCCAACAGCAGCCAGTGGAAAAACAGTGTCGAAAAGAGCAACTAACACAAGTATTTTATCTCCTCCAGCCACACAGCACAGGTCATTTCACTGCCTCTGCCAGCTCTTCTAAAATAAGAAGAAAATCCTGGTACTTTGCAGAAGTAAAAGCTCTACAAGCTGCTCATCTGGGTGCGACAGAAGTAATTACCTCGAAGGAACAAACCCAATTATCTGGATACGAGTAATGCACACTCGCATCTCACACAGGACTGCCGAATTCATTTCAACTTTTCACTTGAAAGAAATTCTCAAAAAAAGTACCTGAACATCTGAAGATTTTAGCAGCAAGTTCCTTAAGGAAGTGTAGTATTCAGATGGAAGCACACAGTCTTCAGTGTAACAGATATTTAATCGGAGTGACCCCAAATCATCCGGTTTAGAAGACTTGTTTCCATTTTCTTTGGGTTGAAGTAAGTACCTGTAAGCAACAGGGCAATTCTAAAATATCAGATTCCCATCTCATTCATTTGACTAATTCTACAATCAAGCATCACAATTATTTCAGTAGGCACACATTACGTCTGAAAACTGGCAAAAAAATTAGACACAAAAGAAAAAATATTGAGCAGCACTTGATACATCTTCAGCACATACTGAAATTTCCACTTATTTTCTCTTTCTTTCCAAACAGGGAAATAGGCTATACTTTTTTTGTAGGCTAGCTGGAATAGCAGGAATAGTTTGAAATGACACTGGACCATCTTATTTCACGTCCAGGTTAAATTTAGGGTGTTGGACACTGCAGACGGAACAGCCACGGTAAAGAATTTAGTCTGAAACAAGGAAAAAAAAAATAATATTAGCAGGCTGCATCCTTGTGAAACAGGATAAAGGAAAAAAAGTGGGTGTTTTTCTGCTCTCTTAACACAAAACACACTAAAACGATTCTTCACTGGCTTTTGCTGTAGTTCCACTCTGGTCCAACAGGAGGAGCGGCCCCACAAAAATGTTACCAGTTTTTAAGCAGTGTCACAGAACAGCTTCACATTCACCCCAACAAACTGCAATCCTGCCTTCAGATATGCTTTTACAATCGTGTGTGTTTGTGCCTCCACGATCCAGAGATCAGACTGCCTTTTTTTTTTTTTCATAATCAGCTGCAGTGCCCCTGAAGGCACGGTAATAACAAAACTGATTTACCAGGAGAACCTCTACTCAACAGCAGGACTCTTAGGCTTATTTTCCCAATATTTAGAAGTAGTGCTGATGCTTGACGTGCTGTACTTTGGCCACATTCAAAAACATATTACGCAAATTAGTAAGAGTATAAAAAAATTAGTTATTTTTAATCCCAGAGCTGGTTTTGCTAAGCAGATGCTAACTGGATGTGGGGACGTTCAGTGTAGGGTTATCAGCAGACACAACCCACTCTATCTACCAATCCTTCCAGTGAACTGGGTGTGAGTCAGGCCAATCCAAAAGGCTCCCCAAACTAAATGCGCTGGTAATGAGCCCGTGCTGATGAATCTCCCTCTTAGCAGGTGGTTAACAGAGCAATGCCATTATGTTAACATGGCCACACAGCAGTCGATCAGAGCACTGGCAGAACGAGTCTGCAACACACTGTGGAAAAACCAGCAACTCCCAGCACAAAGGTTTATTGTGCTCAGGATCGCAGCCAAACACCCAGAGTCTGAGTTCAGCTTGGACATTCAGGGCCTGAGGGGGCTACACAGAGCACAGCCAAGACCTGGGTTACCTTTAATTCCCATCTCCCCACTTCCTTCCTGGGCATTTTCTGTGTGGACACACCAGGGCTCCCTCCAGGCTTCTTTCTGGAGAGGAAGGTTCCCTAAAAGCAGAATATTCTACACTCTTTGAGGCACTCACATCTCTTGCCCTCATCACTTCCTGCTGCTGAGCATTTGGGACAGCAAAGGGTGAGGGATGGGTTCCTGCTTGCAGGGAAGTCAGAAGGGAAATGCTGCTATGTTACAAACTGAAGTCTTTCTTCCCTAAATTCCCTTCATACCTTACCCTTCCAGCTTCTGTGCCTGCTTCCCCGAAATTAGGTTGGGTCAGTTCCAGAAGATACTTCTAGAACATCCCCCAGGAAGAAAAAAAGCCATACTTCAAGGATTAAATCAACTCTTCATCAGTCATTCTGAAAGTCCAACTTAGAAATTTAATTGTGATTCAATTCTGAGAGACTCCAAGTTGGCAGGTTAGGCTGAAAAATATCTACATCCAGCAAGCTGACCAAAAAAAATAGTTACACTCAGTCTCCCCCCTCAAACACAGCAATTATTCTGTGACCTCGGGCAGAGGGGGGAAGAGAAGAGCCAAATGCACCCTCTGGCAAGGTGAACTTAGCAGGGAAACTCTAAAAACATGGTTTACCCTGACTACAACAGCAAGACACAGTTTAATGAACAGGCAGAATAAAGCATATATTTTGCAAGGGAAAATGTGCAGGACAAGCAAATTCACTTCTGAACCACCATTTCTCACCATGCTTGAAAGGAATCATTTCTTAACACCTTCACAGGAACTTTGATTTCTCCTAGGAAGACATCTTGTACCAGATTGCCATTATTCCACAGGTCAACCCTGCAAATAAGAACATGGTTTGATTTTCTTTTCCCCCAGAGAGAAATAAGTTCACAATGACTGCCTTACAGCACTAATCCACATGCATGCAGGCAGCAAATGTTAGAGATCTCACTCCATTCTAAACAAATCAAGAAGAATCAAACAAGTGGCTTTGATTAACCCATACAGAACAGCTAAACAAACAGTGAAAGTTAGACTTGCAGACCTCGCATCAGTAAATAAAAGTGATACTGGCAATATGGACGGGTTCTGAGCAGCCTCCACCCCCAGAACTGTGCACATTTCTTCAGAGGTAATTCCAGTGAACTTTTTAATCATGTATTTACATCTGTCTGACTGGCAGACCCTGGCACACTGCAATGCCACACCAAACATGCTCTTGTCTGTCCAAGCAGCAGCTCCAACGCTCACAACCTCCAAAGGAACCACTCCAGACATGCACCTTGGCTTTGTTCTGTCACTTCTTACCTCTCTGACATTTCTGACAGACAGCAGGTGTTAAGAACAAAAACAAAACAAAAAAAGAACAAAAACAAAAGACAACTAGATTTGTTGGGGCATGATTGTTTTTTTCTAAATATATTTATATCTATAAAGAAACAGACAATTCTAATTAATGGAGCTAACAGTCAAAAATGCACATACCAAGTTAGTTCTGTGATGGCTATTTAAAATTAACTGCTGAATTCTCCTGATGCCCAAACATGCTGGCCTTGGAGGTCTGTTGTCATTCAGCAGGTTTGGTGCATGGATGTGCAGGAGCACAGCCAGGCTGAGCACGGGGCTCTCAGCTGTTCTGACTACACTGAATAAACAGACAGAGCTGCTCTGAGGGAAAAGGAGCAGGAAAGGGACCAAACTTGGAGTATTTGCAAGTCTGATCAGTAATTCTGTGGAGCTACTCTAAGATAAAACATATTTATTGTCTCAGTGATGAAATACTGTGATTTATTAATAATTCTATGAAAGCACTCTCTAATCCACATGACTTACCTGACTTCTAGCTTCTCAATATCTTCTTCTTCTACCTGAAACTGGGACTTCTTGGTGTAACTGCTAGACCTGGTCACCTGCAAGGAAATTCCTCCTATTAACACTTTTTTTTTCCTGATATATTATAAATGTCAAAAATCAAAGAAAAGCCTCTACCTCTAACACAGATAAATAATTACTGTTCTCTCTAAAAAGGAGGAAGTTCTATTGACCAAAGTGCCTTTTGCCAGCAAGCAGGTGAAAAATGGGGCAAGAAGGGTTGCTGAGGGCTGGCTGACATCTCAGGGAATCACAGGACAGATCTATCAGGAAAAACAACAAGGAGCAGGACGTGATTTCTTTGGTTTTAGCATAAGCCCCAAGAAAGGACTGGAGTTAGTTCTGGAAGGTTTAAAGGAACAACAAATTACAAGTCCATTCTTCTTGCCCCAGTTCTAACACACTGACTGCATTCTCCACTCCATCCAATCCACCAGAAGTTGTAAAGTTATCAGGGTGGTTTGGAGCACATTTTTATCCTAACATCTTCCTTCTAAGAAATGACACTCAGGTAACTGAGACACACACCAGATGTTGACACTCCACACAAAACACAGTAAATCAGAACACACTTGAGGCACATGTAATAGTTGTGCTCCTTCCAAGTCTCAGTGTAGCATGCTTAAACGAAAATATAACCGCCAAGACAAATCAGATGAACATTTAAACTCATCATTTATTGCAGGATAACTTCTATAAAATGAAATCAACTCCTAAAGAACAACAATGTTAACTTTTTTAAAAATAAACTAAACTCTTTTTGGGGTATAATCGTTCCATTACTTCATTAAAGATGTCAGTTGTTCGGATTTTTTAACTCAATCTTCTTGAAAATATTTGACTAGAATTCCACAGGACAGGTTAAAGCCATCTCAGAACTACTGAAGGCAACAGCTGGCAACAGGTAATTCAAGATAATAAACTGCCTTCACAGATGTGCTTGTGAAGAAGTCATTTTTCACACAGCAACTGAAGGGCAATGCCACTGTCTGGCAGATAGAAATTGAAGTGTCACGCACTCACATTTGAGAGCTTTCTGTGTTAGGTTATTAAAAATATTGGAGAGATCGTACAGAATAGGTAAGACAGGGAGAACACCACACAAAAAGTTACCTCAAAGTAAAAGGTTTCGTTAAACTGCGGATTGCTTGTTTTCTTCTTGACTTTGGTCTTCTTCTGGTCATTCCTGTTCCAACATGGTAACATTTTTACCACAGACAACTTCAACACACAATTATAAAGACATTCTGCCGTCAAGAAGGACCCACTCATTTAAGTTAGAACATTTTTTTGTTATTTTAGAAAGAGAGGAAAAATCTTAAAAATATAATTAATTCATCTTCACAGTATAGTTTGAAGAGCTAAAATTTTAAATACTGTATCTAGTTCATTATGCATCTACCCAGCTCAAAGTTTGCATTTAATATCCCAAACAAATAAAACTTACACACATCAATTAAAATATACCAACAATTTCTAAAAAACATTTAAAATTTAAATCTCTTTAATTGAAACTGCCTGCAGTTTACAAGCTTTTCCCCCCATCTTGTTCTACTGCAATTTCTGTTTTTCCCCACCCTCTTCTGTTGGGGAAATACCCACCCCTTCTTTACAGATAAAGGTTTACCCAAGACTGGAGGTTTTCTTGGAGAGCAATCACTGCCAGTGTCGGATACTGAGCAGGACAGGGTCAAACAAAACAACTGTTCCTCATTTTCTTGGGAGTTAGTTTTGGTTTTTTTTTAAATTTTACAAGTTTTATAGAAGAATACACCTGGGGTTTTTTTTATTTAGCATTATTTTTATATATGGTAGTATAAAAACGCTTTTTAAAAGGAACACAAATATAAAATGTGGGGAAAAGGAGATAAGGGAGAAGAATGGATCAACTACCTGTTTTCAGGCATGTAAATATTCCAGTCATGGCATGTGAGTCACACGTGCATGAGGCTGGAAAATCTTAACCAGGGATTTCTGTCAGAATTGCACATTTATTCCTACACCAACAGGCCAAATATTCTGTGGGACCAACATTCTCCCACTTCCATCCACGTCACAGGACTCAAACAGTGACCGTGTGTCAACCCTCCTTCTCTGGCAATCAGCCCCGAGCTTCCCACAGGGATGATGGTCACATCTCCACGGTCCTCTCAAGGAAAACCCCAACAGCCAAATCAAACCAAAAGACCCTATCAAAAAGAACCCCAAGGCAAACCATAAAAAAAAAATGTGATCATGTGTTACCAAGGAGGAAAAAATGCCCCATGCAGGGCTTACTCAGGGACAATCCTCCCACAGTCTTTAAAAGAGAGGAAGGTAAGCAATTAACTGCGTCACCCCATACGGGAATTTTACAGAAATTAACGGGAAGCACAGCGCAGAAATCAAGAAACCTAAGAAAGAACTGAGTGCCAAGTGGTTCTAGAGCGGTGCAGGCCAATCAGACAGACCAAACACCATCCCAGCCCTGAGGTGACGGTGGGGAAGGTGGAAGAACAGTGCCAGTGGAAGATGGGATGTTTCAAGATTTTTTCTGTTTCAAAGCTTTTGCTCAAAACCCACGACCTCCTTTTGCAGTTCAAAATCACAGCATTTCAGATCGATTCATTCCACCCTAAAATGTTACCTGGAAGGCCCCACGAGAGAGACAGTTGCATAAGGGTCACAGTTCTGTCCGTTTATAAGAGGCAACCCGTGGCACTCCTTTATGCTGTGAGGAAAAGGCAAACAGCAGATCAGTGAAACAAGAGATTTGGCTTGAAGAAATAACCCCCAAAAGACTCTTTTTTTTTATAAATTTTATTTAAGTCCTGCCTCATTACACACTGATCTATCCATCGATCCAACATGATGTAAGTACCTGCAGTAGATCATAACTACAGCCCTCTGGATGGCAACTCAAAGTAATATTCAAGTGTCCAGTCAAACTGAGGGGGCTCTGTGAGAACAAAAGTCTTGGAACTGCTTTGATAAAGCAGTTTGAGAAAGATTCCAGTATCACAAAATCCTGAGTAAAATGAACTGCTATATTAAGAGAAATTACAGACCTGGTTAACTTTTAAATTTGATTTCTCAAGGCCCACAGGAAGCAATTTGGCCTCAACCAGTGGCAGCAGCTACATCTAGAAGGCATTTAAATGGATTCAAATATTTTGTTTTGGATAAACCACGTTCTGAGTTACGCTGAGAAATGCAAAGTCATACCCTGAAACGTTATTTAGAATTAAGCATCCCCAACTATCAGTTTATGGTTTCAGTTCTACAGCTGAAATAGTGCTTAAGGCTCATTTTCAAATTCTTTCCACAACAGCCCACGTTCAGGGTTAAACAGCCCCTTTAAAAACACAGTTTTCTCCCATAATTCCTGGAGTAAGTGGTCAGGTGGCGTTTAACAGGCACGCTGTTCACCACTCCTGATGCAAAAGAGACAGGGCAGTTGGTAACTGATGCTCGTGGGCACAGAAACACCTTCTCTGGAGCTTTTTCTGAAGGTTTGCAACCTTCCTGAATCACCACAGCAGCAACCCAGAGCTGGCTCAGCAAGCTGCCCAACCTTCAGATGCTGCCCACATAGGAGCATTAACCAAAACCAGCTGCAACAACAAAAGCAAAGCAGAAGAGGTGGTGAATTCATAGCACAATCCAGACTTCTGGCCAAATGATGCTCTAATGGAACCATGGACACTGCAGCACTCATTTACCAAGTCTGGAAACACTCAGCAGATTACAGGATTTCACAAACAAAACAAAGGAGATCTGAATGCTGTATTCCTGATCTCTTTTAAATAATCTATTTTTAAAAAATATATATATATTTCAGGAATTTAACTAAATGAATGCAAGTAAGTTTCAGCTGTCAAAATTTGCCAGTTTGAATGAAATCCAAAAGCGAGGTAACTAAAGGAGAAACCAGACTTCTCTGAGTCCATCTAAACAATGAAGCAAATGTTCCAATAGTGCAATGTGGAATCTACTTGTGCAGAGCAAGTTAAAGTCACCTCACAGCAACAGCAGCTACACCTGCTTAAGTAAACAATTTCTGTACTGCAGAAAAACGGTGCTGAAAGAGTAACAGGAGCTGCAAACTCAAGTGGGGAAACAACAGACACCAACACTCCTGTGCTGACTCAAAACTCCCCCCTCTCTGCAGTAGGCACAATTATAAACCAGATGGTATTTTCACCCCCAAAAGTCCCTTTGTCTCAGCCAGTTCAGGGAACATTTAGTGCTGAGCCACTGCACAATCATTTGTTATTTTTCTTCCAGTTATCAAGCACGTGGCCTTCAGCATTTCAATAATTTCTGAATCACAATGAACCCCACAGTGGTTTCAAACCCACCATTTAACAGGGTTCTTGAAGCATCCAGTTGTTTCACGAGCATTAATTGATTCCTCCTCCAACACACCCGAGGCACAGAAGAGTGGCGACAAAATTAAACTGTCTAGACTTGTCAGTCATTTGGGGGGTCTGATCTGAGGCAGGACTTGATTCTTTCAGATTAATGGGCACTCTGGGCACTGAACAGACCGTTCTGCAGCTCCTCAGGCTTTTCAGGTGAGAGCAGTGAGTGTGCCTGTAAATGAGCCTCAACTTGAATATCATGGGGGATTCACAGCAGATGGATCAGCCAAACTTATCTCAAGAGAACTGAACTGTTTTAACAACAACCAATTTTTCTTCTTCCAGTCTGTGCCATGTTCACCAAGCTCCTGGATTTCTCCGGCAAACAGATGAAAGTCTGTCGGACCTTTGGTTACAGGTTGTTCTGCTCTCCCCAGGTGTTCTTGCAGCTTGACCACAACACACACAAACTAAAGAAAAGCTTGTTTGTGACTTCTTGCAAGCTGAAAAGCATCGTACTGACAACGACACAGCCTTGCAGCAGAACCAGAATCTCTGGATTCATCACAGGGATCTGTCACTGAGAGCTGGTTTCATGCACAGTCAGTCTCCTGTGTGGGCAGCTCTGGCATTCCCCTTTCACCTCCTGCACAAGTGCCAGCTCTGCTGCCAGCGAGTGTGGCCTGCCCAGCTCACACAGCCTATCCTGGGCCAACCATCAGCTCCCAAGATTCATCACAAACCTTCCTCTTTCACACCTACCAGGCTGGAGAATTTGCTTCTGATTTATCTCAGCTCCTCCCCTTCCATCTCTCACTCCAGGTGCTGCCTGCAGTCTGCTCCACTCGCAGCAGCCGACAGCACGGCTGGGTCAGCTGAGCTGAACCCCCCAATGTTTCTATTTACTGACCCTACACAGAGCTGGTCAGGGTCTGAGCTGTCAGTCTGGCAAATCTGGTGGTGCAGGAGCCCTCCCAAGCTCCAAAGGCAGTAGCCAAGAGGGGCAGGGAGCCAGGAAATCAACTCAGCACCACCAAACCGGATCGTTGCTCCCCCTGGATGGAGGACACGAGACTGAATCGTTCCAGATACTTCCCAGCTGCTCCACAAACAGCCTCCAGTAAACATGGTTAACAATTCTGAAGATGTTTGAAGTGGCTCCATTAGAGCAGATTTAACAGTGATGGAGAAGGGCAATCTCACTAAGTTTTCCAGCTGGCAGATTCCACCAGAATGCTGCCTTTCCTCAAAGAATCAGTGCTTGGAACTGCTGCCTCCTCACACAGGAGAACAGCCATCCAGAAAACCCAGCAAAGGCAACAACAAGATGTCAAACACTTTGACCCATCCAAAAAAGAAGTAGCACTAAATATACATTCCTATTCTGACAACAACAATAAATACATTTCTAACACATGGCAAATATTTCAGCTTTGACAAATCATTTCATCTACCTAGGCTGCTACAAGCAATTTTCATTCAAAAGGCATAAATGCATAGAGTTTGAAAAAGTAGACAGGAATTTAGAAGCCTTCTATTTTATATTTTTAAGTACTGTGTCTTTTTATATAAAGTCTAAAAAAACAGAAGGACTTTAGTTCTTTTCTCAAACTACGGATCAGTTCCAGTACAGTGTGAGATACTCTTCAATTTACATTAATTCTTGCTTTACCTCTCATTGGTTTGTTGTGCAAGAGGAGTTTCATACAGGAAATGAGAGCCTTTCAGATATAACTGGCGCACATTCAGCTCATTAGATGAAAATAAGTCCTCGACAAACCTCCTCAGTGACTGAGGGACTCTACCCCCACCACTCCAACCAACCCAAGTTCTCTCCAAGGGCAAAAACTCCCCAACTGCAACCATTAGGATCTGTACACCTCCAAAAAATTGGTTAGGTTCCCTAGAACAACTTCAGATGAGCAGATGAAGTACAAAGAGGACAGTAACAAACTGACAGGTCAATTTAAGATAAAACTGATTTAGAAAAGTGTGTGCAGAGAAGTCAAAATTTAATTGTAATAAACCATTTCTGGGCTATCCAGTGTTCACACTGTAAATACACAAAATACACCTTTTCTCACAGCTGAAGTGCTGTCACACTCGGGGAAGGCAAGTGCTACCACCCAAGTGCCTAATTTGGCCAGAAATTGTTCAAATATCACCTATTTCAGCAGCAGCAAAACGTGCAAACGACGGTCAGGCAAACTTGTTTTTACAGACTGCCAGAAGCAGGACCTGCAACCTGCACTTCTGAGATGTGTTACTACACATGCTCCTGCGGTTTTGAAAAGAAGAGCCCACACTGAGTCAGCAGGTAATCTCCTGCGCTATCTTTTCCCCCTCCTCATTCACACATTAGAAAAGGAAACAATTACTGTGAGAGACAAAACAAGATTTTAATTCACAGGCTCTGATCTTGATCTGTATGGAACTCAACTAAAGCAAGCTTGCAATTAATACAAACATTACGTGCAGAATCAGGGCTTAGCCCATCCCAGTGATCTCTACGACAGTCCTTCACCAAGGGAAGATTAACTAACGCTTGCACGCCAAGAGAAGTGACAGCAATAAGTGCACCACTTATGAATTATCACGGGAAATGCTTAACAAAGTAAGTAGATTTTTAAAGAGTTTAAATTTTCTATTGAATAATCCCACGTGTATTTTCTCTAAGTTCCTCATGTGGTCTCAAAAACGCCCTCACCCCCATTTCTGTACATTCAGAGAGAGATGTAGTTCTCATACTCTCATACGTGCATCCAAAATATATTTACACCCAGGGTATTACTAATGCATCCAACTATTTCAAGGCTGTCAGCCTGGGGGGTAAAACACACTAATAAACATTTCTAGTTTAGGGAACTCTGATGCATTTCACAACCTCAGCCGAAGCCAAAAGCACTGATGTAAGAGCGCGGTGTCGAACGCACAGTCCTCTCCCACGTGTCAGTGAGTGAGCAAAGCAATCAAAAGAGAACCTTTTCATCAATTATCTCCGTCACAAAGAGATCCCAAGAGGGTGAGTAAACCACTTCCTGCTGCAATCTGCAACAGTAACTTTCTAAAGCAACTTCTCTTCGGCGCGAGAAGTCCAAGCGTGTTTTTAAAAGAAATAAAAATATTTTAAACCCGAAAAGGCATGAACATATAAAAAATAAATTTAAAAAAGGACATCTCTCAGAAAGTTTAGCTGGGAAAGTCATAAAGCTCCAGCCAGCTTCTGGTGGTGAATAGTTCATGGGGAAAAAGCTGTTCTAGTTCTCCTTCGTGTTGCAAATGGGAAAAAATAAGAGCAGCAGGACTCCCACTGAACCAAGCTGGTACCCACTAGAAAAGCAGACACATTCCCAATTACCTTTAAGTTATAAAGATTCCTTGATGTACAGCAGGTTTCCATTTTATCTGAATTATCAGCCTGCAGGAGCTGCTAAAGCATTACCAGGTCCACTGGCTTAGCTCTATCCCAGAACCAGCTTCCCTTTGCACACCAAAAAAATTAAAGAGAACAGCAGAGAGTACTTGGCAGGGCCCTGAGCCAACTAAACTACTCCTCTTGGTTTATATAGTTGACTAAAACTTCATAATGCAGATTACACGACCAAGACTGACAGTGCAGGGGTCTCCCCCCGCTCACTGAGTCTGATCTGAACACGACTGAACAAGTCACTCACTACGAGCAGAAGACCACACACCATTTCCTGTCCTTGCAGTTTCACAACACAACCCACTCTTTCATCTAAATTCTCAAAGAAGATTTAAAAAAAAAAGAACCTCACTCAAATAAATCTAAGCTAATGAACAATGCTGGAAAGCAAAATTAAAGAATCTTACTACTTTTGAGTTTTTCATTTCCCCTTAGCCTTTATAACCCCCCTTTTCTTCACATGGTCTATCCCACAACCTGTCTGGAGACAAGTGCAGAAAAGCCTTTTTTTCTGAACTGCAGTTAAGATTGGCTTGTTGTCCTGAACCTCCTGCTGAGACACAAGAACACCGTCCATCTGCCTGATCCCCACAGGTACTGGTTTGCACTGCTCTCTCCAGTGAAAGCAGTCAATCTCTCACAGGCAAGTGACACAGAGGGCTGTCAGACCTTCAGAAATAAAGGATAGTATTGGTTTCCAGAAATCAGTATCCTCTTGTATGCCCTTAGAAGATAATCATCCATCATTTTGGATCATTGTCAAACAAAGCTCTAAAAGTACAATACAGGATTTACTACTGTCCAGTATCTCTCATTCTTTGCTTTTGCTTTAATACCGGGAAAAATTTGCCTTTCTGAAATAACATATACCAAAAATGAATTGTTTCTATGATGCTCTTTGACACACTAACATCTTTACAGTTGGGAGTCAAAATTCAGGTTGGCAGTGAAAGCTGATGACGTTGCTGCTAAGAGGCTTTACTGCAGTGTGACAAACATGCTGCTCCAGAGCCACAACTCCTGCACTTCATTTCTCTATTAACATTCCCTATCATGCTTAACCACGAGAGAACAATTGTGAAGCAAAATTAGGAGTGGATTTTCACATATCAACCCAAAATATTACTACTGGAAAAGTCATTTCTGTTCCCAGCAGCAGCAGCAGCTCAGTGCTGTCAGTGGCAGCAGCACTGCAAGTTTTGGCTCTCAGCTGCACTGGACATTCCCAGCTTTCCCATCAGACCTAATTCCACTGGAATTACAAGACACTAATCCTAACAAGGCCTAATAAAAGCCAGTGCTTTGGCAGCAAGAGAGATGAGCAGCTGTGAAAAGCTCCTGCAGGAGTTCCCTCAGCACACAGCCCTTCCCTCACAAGGCAGGCTCCAGAGAAAGTCATATGGCAATAATATTGGTACAGGTTGTGCAGACACACAGGATCAGGAGAGAAAAACCACATACAAACAACTTTTAAAGAATTAATGTATTTTCTTACTGTACTACTAGCTGCTGGCACACAGATCCATTATCTGTTATCAGTTCATTCAGTTTTAATTCAAGGTGAACTTTTCCCTGGAAAAAAAAAAAAAAAAAAACAAACAAGAGAGAAATCAGTTAGTTTTAAAAGCCCTTCTTTTAAAAGCAGGAATTAGAACAGTAATATAGCTTACAGACAGAAGTTATTTGATGTATTTCTAATATAACCACTTCAAAAAAATACCTCATCTAAAGCACATATCCTGCAAGTAGAGTATGATGGATGCACTCGAACTTTGAGTTAGTGATATAGAGAAACATTATCTCCAACTGCAGACAGCACAGGAATTGGTCAACCCTTCACAGATTTAACACACACAAGTATTTCTCCAGCATGAGGAAGTATCAAGAGCAAGTGTCTCTCTCAGCTGTTTTGTCCTGACCATGGGATGAGCAATCCTTGCACAGAGAGCAGATTTATGAACATTTCAGGAGAAAGTTCTAAAAGTACCTTGGACTCTGAAGGCAGCTGAGTATATTCAGAACAGCAGAATATTGTGCAGTAGCCAAAACCAGCAGCATTTAATGTCTAGCTGTGAAATCCTGTCCATCACACCAGACTGAAAATCATCTAGAAATCTACTGTGCATCCCATTGCAGCTTTCAACTGTCTCATGAAGGATGCTGATTTAGTGAGGAACAGCAAACACAGCCAAAGGAGAGGAAAAGGTGGCAAATTCGGCTCCCTCGTTTTCTTTCTCTGATATGGCAGGATGTATTAATAAAAAATGATCCATAAATGATGGCACATCATGGATCAACTTCAGAACCCTCCTCTCCCATCTCAATACAAGGCTCCAAAAACTTCAAACCACGGTATGCAACTTCCTCGGGATGACCAAAATTTGGGACCTAACCTTGCTCCAAACAGCTACTGCCTGAAAAACACCTGCTGCTCCTTTCAGTGCCTGGCTGTTCGTGCTGGCTTTCACATCTAAAACAATCAGACATCGACAGCATCTTCCCTCTGACAGTGTTCTCCTCGGTACTCCTAGAATGTGGCCATTTCCTAAATGGAGCATCAGATGACACCGGTCTGTCCACAGTCCAAATTCTCAGGGAAGGGATCTGGGAGGTGATTTCCAAGCGTGGCAAAGGAATCAAGTCCTAATCTGCACTACAGCTTTGCTGCCCAACACTAAAATGGCAGTAAAACCCCGGGCTGACCTTGCACACATTTCTGCAGCAGTTCTGTTTTGACACAGGACCCAAATGATGTTGTTGTTGTAAATCCCCCGGGGCAAAGGCTGCCTTTCCCTCTCTGCACGTCACAGGGGAGGAGAAGGGAAGCTCCTTTTACAAGGAGGTTATAAAAACGTAACTGTTTTGGGACGCCTGCCAAGGGTTTTGCAAACTGCTGCTACACGGATGGGAACACAGGTACATCGACAAAGTATCTGTCAGGCAGAGAAACTCCACGAGCAAAAGAGATTTACAGGATAAAAACAGGATACTGGGGCATGCCAACAGCCTTCCAAGGCGAAGTTTTTGAATGACAAATGAAAAAAACATCAGCAGTACTTACTGTAATAGCTGACTTAATCAGTTTTAGGAAACAGATGCTGCGAATGTCCTAAACATCTTTCTTTTGCTCTTAAAAACAAGAACCACAAACGGTGTTGTGCACTGAACAGCAGCAGTAAAATAGCACCTTCCTGCTCCTGCAAACTACCTGTGGATGAAGTTTATTCAAAACCCAGCACCATGAGGACTGCTGTAACGTGGCTGTAGGGAAGAACTTCCCCAACAAGTTTTGGGTACGTTTCTGTTCTGTTTGCTGAGAGCAGCGTGATGGTTTCCTGAAGTGGCTGATCTGCAGATCCACATCAGAACCTCTGACACAACACACAAGTGGGTTTGAAAGGTGGCTGCACAGATGGGGTTCAGTTCAGAGCACAGAAATCAGCCATCCTTACACAACAAACAAACAGAGCACTTCATGGGAATGCACCTTTCATCTGCAGATCTCAGGGCTGTTCAGAGCCAGGCAGGGACCATTTTAACTTCACAAATGGACTAACAATCGATTTTCAGACACTGACCAGAGGAAGATGGAGTTCACTACTTGCTAACAATAAATCCTACCAATTTTAAGAAAGAGAACTACCTTGAAAAACCTTAGAGGTGCGTGAAAGACTTTGATCTTATCAATGCATTTGGCAAGTGCAGATCAAATCTCTATAAAAGTTTCTTGAATTACAAAGATCAAGGGCATGTTTAACCACATGACCCCATTTCAAACCAGATAAATTAAGATTTAATAAATAAAAAAGGGAGCAGAGCAGATGCCTTTTAAAATCTAAGTAATTTTTACATATTTTCAGGGGCTGGGGAGAGGCCACTCTCCTCCTATACACACTTGAAAGGAAACCCCTATCATCCTTCTTTGATTACAAACTGATATTAACTCAAGCGTACAGTGTTGTTACTCTGCTGAACTTTAAATCACCTCCACTTCAGATCAGCTGTGATCCAGGACAGAAAACAACAGGTCTACAGTTTCTGCATTAGGATTGAATTGTGACTCCAGAGAAGTCTTAAATTTACCACAAGCAAGGTGCTTGTAGAAAATGGCCGCTCTGGTTATTTTTCCACTGCCCCAATTCAGTTTTATTTTGTAGCAATCAGCAAGTTGAATAAAAAAGTTTTTAATTTTTAGGACAGAAAAAAAAAAAAAAAAAAAAA